TTTTTTGTCAGTCATGGGGCTTGAACTCTGGGCCTGGGCACTGTCCCTCAGCTTTTCAGCTCAAGGTTACAACTCTACCACTTGAACCTCAATGGCACTTCTGGATTTTTCTGTTTAGATGGTGCTAAGGAATCAAACCCAGGGCCTCAGTCATGCAAGACAAGTATTCTACCACTGAGCCACCTTCCCAGACTGGTCCTTGACCTCTTTTGTTTAATGCTAGCACTCTACTACTTGAGCATCAGAGCCACTTCCAGCTTTTTTTTTTTTTTTGGTGGGTGGGGGTTGGTTGTGGGGCTTAAACTCTGGACCCAGAACTGTCACTGAGCTCTTCAGCTTAAGGCAAGTACTCTAACACTAGAGCCACAGCACCACTTGGGTTTTCTGGTGGTTAGTTGTAGATTAGAGTCTCATAGGGAGTTTCTTGCCTGACTTGGCTTTGAACCTCCATCCTCAGTTCTCAGCCTCCTGTGTAGCTAGGATTAAAGGTGTGAGACACCAGCGCCCAGTACTTCCAGCTTTTTCTGAGTAGTTGATTAGAAATAAAAGTCTTATAGACTTTTCTGCCTGGGCTGGATTTGAGCTGGGATCCTCAGAGCTCAGCCTCCTGAATATATAGGATTACAGGCGTGAGCCACTGGCCCCCACCTGGCTTCAGGTTTTTGAACTTCTATTATATTCTAAAGCTTTTTTTTTGGTAGGTCCCCCCCCCCCGCCCCAACATCCAGCATCTTTTTTTTAAAATTTTTTTTGTTGGTCGTGGGGCTTGAACTCTGGGCTTGGGCGCTGTGCCTGAGCTCTTCAGCTCAAGGCGAGTGCTCTACTGCTTGAGCCACAGCACCACTTCTAGGTTTTTTTTCTAAGGGTTTATTGGAAATAAGAGTCTCATGGACTTTCCTGCTCAGGCTGGCTTTGAACTGTGATCCTCAGATCTCAGCTAGGATTACAGGCGTGAGCCACCAGCACCTAGCTAACATCCAGCATCTTAAGGAATAGAATGCCCAAGTATGTCAATCAAGTAAAAAAAAAACAAACAAACAGTTTTTAATTAAAAAAGAAGTCTGGGTGCCAGTGGTTCACACTTGTAATCCTGGCTACTCAGAAGGCTATTCAGAGTTGGAAGCCAGCCCTGGCAGAAAGTGCTTAAGACTTTTCCATCTACAAAATAACCTGCCCCCCCGAAAAGCAGTCTGGAGATGTGGCTCACATAATGGAACTTCATCAGAATGAAAGGCCCTGAGCTCAAGCTGCAGTACAACCAGAAAAGAAAACCAAAAGCTGGGGAAAAGCAAAGGAAGGAGTGATATTGTCCAAGAATATTTGTACACATTATCTCACTTATGAAATTGTAACCCCACTGTACAACTTCTTCATACTGATAAAATCATATTAAAAACACAGAAGAAGCCAGGAGCTAGTGGCCTCACACCTGTAATCCTAGCTACTGAGGAGGCAGAGATCTGTGGCTCAAGATTCAAAGCCAACCCAGGCAGTAAAGTCCATGAAACTCATTTCCAATTAACCACCAGAAAACCAGAAGTGGTGCTGTGGCTCAAGTGATAGAGTTCTAGCCTTGAGCTGAAGAGCTCAGGGTCAGCCAGACCCAGAGTTCAAGCCCTACAACCAAGAACAACAACAACACAGAAGAACATAAGCAAGTAAGTATAATAAAAAAACAAAAGTTGGGTATATACATTTTTCTAATTTGGGGAGGGGAAGGGAAATAACAAAATGTTGAAACAAGGATACAGGTTGACCCATTGTAACAATGAGAGATGTACAAGACACTGTTGAAAATGAACTTTACATATTTGGGCGGGGAGGGAGGAGTTGGGAAGGTTGGGAGGAAAGGGATGGTAGGGGAAAAACAAAGGAGGGGGTAACAATGCTCAATAGGAAATGTACTCATTACCTTACTCATGTAACCCTCTGTACAGTATCTTCACAATAAAAATATATATTAAGGGGGCTGGGAAGGTGGCTCAGTGGTAGAGTGCTTGCCTTGCATGCATGAGGCCCTGGGTTTGATTCCTCAGCACCACATAAGCAAAAAGAAAAAAGCCAGAAGTGGCGCTGTAGCACCAGTGGTAGAGTGCTAGCCTTGAGCTGAAGAGCTGAGGGACAGCGCCCAGGCCCCATGACTGGACCCCAAAAAAATATATACATATATAATAAATAATTGGTTTTATTACACACACATACACACACAGAGTTAGGGGCTGGGAATGTGGCTTAGAAGCTCACCTAGATTGCATGAAGCCCTGGGTTCAATTTCTTAGTACCACATCAACAGAAAAGGCCAGAAGTGGCACTGTTTCTCTAGTGGTAGAATGTTAGCCTTGAGCAAAAGAAGCTCAAGGAACACTGGGCGCTGGTGGTTCATGCCTGTAATCCTAGCTACTCAGGAGGCTGAGATCTGAGGATTGCCGTTCAAAGCCAGCGCAGGCAGGAAAGTCTGTGAAACTCTTTTTTCTTTTTTTTGTCAGTAGTGGGGCTTGAACTCTGGGTCTGGGTGCTGTCCCTCAGCTCTTCAGTTCAAGGCTAGCACTCTACCACTTGAGCTACAGTGCCACTCCCAGTTTTCTAGTGGTTTAATTGGAGATGAGAGTTTCACGGACTTTCCTGTCTGGGCTGACTTAGAACTGTGATCTTCAGATCTCAGCCTCCTGAGTAGTTAGGATTACAGGAATGAGCCACTGGCGCTCGGCCAATGAAACTCTTATCTCCAATAAACCACCAGAAAACCAGAAGTAGTGCTATAGCTCAAGTGGTAGAGTGCTAGCCTTGAGCTAAAGAGCTGAGGGATAGCACCCAGGCCCTGAGTTCAAGCCCCATGACCAGAAAAGAAAAAAGAAAAAGGAAATAGATTCCTGACCTAATCACAGGTGTTTTGGAACATTATATCTAGTGTTGTTAACAAAGAGAAAATTTGGAAGGTCAGAAGAAAGCCAAGAACCTCAGGAGGGAATACTGAAAGAAGCTTAAGAAAAAATGCTTGGTATCTGTGTCTCATGCCTATAGTCCTAGCTGTTCAGGAGGCTGAGATCTGAAGGTTGTGTTTTGAAGCCACCTAGGCAGGAAAATTTGTGACTCATCTCCAGTAAACTACCCAAAAAAGCCAGAAGTAGAGCTGTAACTAAATTGGTAGAGTGTTAGCCAGAAGCAGACAGGGACAAAACAACGGGACCAGCACTAAGAAAAAAAAATAGTTTACATTAAGAAAAGAAACAAATCTTGCAGGGTGCTGAAGGCTCACGCCTGTACTCCTAGCTACTAAGGAGGCTGAGATCTAAGGATTGTGCCAGCCTGGGCACGAAAGTCTGTGAGACTCTTTTTTAATAATCCACTCGAAAACTGGAAGTGGCACTGTGGCTCAAGTGGTAGAGCGCTCGCCTTGAGCTGAAGAGTACAAGGACAGCGCCCAAGCCCAGAGTTCAAGCCCCACAACTGACAAAAAAAAAAAAAAAGGAAGAAAATCTTAGCTGGGTGCTGGTGGCTCCCACCTGTATTCTAGCTACTCAGGATAGCTGTTTGAAGCCAGCCTAGGAAAGAACCCCTCTGTGAGACTCTTCTTTCCAACTAACCACTACAAAGCTGAAAGTGGTGTCTAAAGTAGTAGAGCACTACCCTTGAGTGAAAAAGCTCAGGGATAGCATCCATACTCAATCCCTAGTTCAATCCCTAGTACACACACACACACACACACACACACACACACACACACACACAACCTTGAACTGCTAGTGAAATGAGCTCCCTTTCCATAGCTTAGTATACTCTTTTCCATCTCCACAACTTAGCAAGCTCCCTTCCTAGGCAACACTAGGCACATTTAGTAAAGGCAATAAACAATCAGCCTCCAAACCCCTTTACCTTGTGATGGCACTTCTTCTCTGGGGCAGCTACCACCATATAATGCAACAAGAGCCCCTTAGAGTGACCTTCAGTTCTGGGCAGTTGCAGGACTCCTTATCTACTATTTGGGTAGCAGCCATAAATCCTAGTCTGCATGATGAAGCCCCTGGCCCTCACATTCACACTAGGGTCTCTGCCTCCTAGCCCCTTTTAGCCCCTCCTAAACCTCCTAGATTATATAGGTCACCCCAGACAATAGCTGGCACATCCCAGTTCTCCCTTGTGAGAAGGGGTCTTGTCGGCCCCTTTCCTGGCAATAAACCTTTCTTTGTTCTCTGTATCTGGATGTCTGTGTGGTTTTCTGGCAAAGTCCAAATAATCTAACAAAGACTCGCAGTGGATTTTCCTGCCTTGGCAGCTTTTTTTTTTTTTGCCGGTCATGGCATGGGGCTTGAACTCTGGGATTGAGCACTGTCCCTCAGCTCTTTGGCTCAAGGCTAGCGCTCTAGTTGAGCTACAGCACCACTTCCAGTTTTCTGGTGGTTTATTGGAGATAAGAGTCTCATGGACTTTCGTACTCTCAGCCTCCTAAGTAGCTAGTATTACAAGTGTGCCACCGGCGCCTGGCTCTTGGGCTGGCTTTGAACCATAAATCTCCAGTCTCAGCCTCCTGAGTAGCCAGTATTATAGGTATCCAAAGTCCTTTGTGTTTTTTCTTTCTTTTATTCCTCTTTCCAGGCTATTTAACCTCTCCTTTTCTTCTTCATATTGTATAACATTGAAATTTCTTGTACATTCTAATATTAAATCTTACTGTTTATCCCAGTATGCTCTTTTCTTGTTGTTGTTGGTCGTGGGGCTTGAACTCTGGGCCTGGGTGCTGTCCCTCAACTCTTTAGCTCAAGGCGAGCACTCTACCACTTGAGCCACAGCGCCACTTCCAGTTTTCTGGTGGTTCATTGGAGATAAGAGTCTCACAGCCTTTCCTTCCTGGGCTGGCTTTGAACTGTGATCCTCAGATCTCAGCCTCCTGAGTAGCTAGGATGACAGGCGTGAGCCACCGGTGCCCAGCGAACACAATGTGTCTTGACCAATGTCACCTCTTTGAACATTCTCACTCATCTGTCCCAACCCCATCCCTCACTCTTTTAATTTTGTAGTTATACATTGAATTCCTGACTGCCTTTTCCCACTTTGCTGCTGTTCACAGGTTGGCTTGCAATGAACGTTTATTTAATTTAATTTATTTTATTTTTTGGGGTCCGGTTTTGGGCCTGAACTCTGGGCCTGGGCGCTGTCCCTCAGCTCTTCAGCTCAAGGCTAGCACTCTACCACTTGAGCCACAGCGCCACTTCCGGCTTTTTTCTTTTTGCTTATGTGGTGCTGAGGAATCGAACCCAGGGCCTCAGGCATGCAAGGCAAGTGCTCTACCACTGAGCCACCTTCCCAGCCCCATCAATAAACGTTTATTGAGTAAATGCCAGCCACCTGCTGTATACAACCATCCCTGACTTTAGATGTCACGATTGAAGGCACAAAATGATGCATTTGTGCAAGCGAGCGGAAAGCGTGGACAAAGAGAGCGGGAAATGCGCCCTCCATTCATCCAGCATGCGGGAAGGTGCCGGCGCCCAAGCGCAGCGGCAGTCACGTGTCCAGCCGCGCACCACGTGGTCCGCCCCGCCGACCCTCCGGAGTCGACTACTCTCCCACCATGCACCGCTTCACACCCTAATTTCCGGCCTCATACGTCAGTTGCCCTAACGACCAGCTTGTTCCCACCTCCAAATCGCGCCACTTCCGCCCAGACCCTCTTCGCACGAGAGTGCGCTTGCGCAGTCCCAAAACAAACGGGCACGGGGCTTCTACTGCGCAGGCGCCCCGGCAAGGGGGCGGGGCCGGACGGCGCCACGGTGCGCAGGCGCAGCCGTCGGTGGGTCGGGGTTCGGTCGCTTGTGAGGTGAGTTAGGGGCGCTCTGTGGTGAGTCGGGTGGGCCGGCTTATCTGCAGCTGGGGTCTTTCTGGGGTTCAGGAGCCCGTCAGGGGAGGAAGGTGTGAGGCCGACGTCTTTGCGTCGGGTCCATCCTGTGAGTGGGCGGCGCGGAATAGAAACTGAGGCAGGGCAGCGTCGGAAACTGAGGCAGGGCGGCGTCGAGGGCGGCCCCGACCGTGCCGCTGCGCGGGCCTGTGGAGAGGACCGCGCGGGGTGCGGCGGCGAGGGAAGGCGCCCGCTGCCCGGGCCCTCAAGCTCGGGGGACCCCCGTTTGTTCCCGCCTGGAAACTCGGGCCCTCAAGCTCGGGGGACCCCCGTTTGTCTCCGCGCTTCAACTTTCCCCTGGGTTGACTTTTCAGAACCAGCCTGCTCAAAGCCTCAGTTTCTCCATCTCTAAACTGGACCGAATCACAATCTCTGCCTGAGTGGATTTAACCTATGTAGCCCAGCACAAAAATGGGACTCCCCCCTACCCCCCCCCAAAAAAAGAAAAACAACAAAAAGAAAAGCCGTTTTTAGGCTTGGTTCACATGTAGGGTCTTTTTGTGTATGTGGAAGTAAAGTGGAGACATGTGGGATTGAGGACCATCCTGCCACTGCCTCTCACTGGCTGGCTGTTTGGCTTCGGGCAGATGGCTTTCCCTCTGTAGATTGATTCCCTGTGAAAGTGTAAGTCTCTCAGCGTCATGTCGAGGTTGCATGGCTGTCGGGTGCCTGGCTGCGGGATGGGCGCTTACTAGAGGCTGGCAATATTTTTTTGTTAAGACCTGGGATGTCTGCCTCAGTGAGGTGGAATGCTTTTAACTGTTTTTGGTTGTTCGCTTCTCTTGATCTTATTTTGTCTATCTTCTCAACAGTGATTTTCTTTCTTTCCTTCTTTCTTTCTTTGTCATGGGGGCTGAACTCTGGGCCTGGGCGCTGTCCCTCAGCTCTTCAGCTCAAGGCTAGCGCTCTACCACTTGAGCCACAGCACCACTTCCGGCCTTTCTTTCTTTTTGCTTATGTGGTGCTGAGGAATCGAACCCAGGGCCTCAGGCATGCAAGGCAAGCGCTTTACCACTGAGCCACCTTCCCAGCCCTGCACTACTTTCTTTAACCAAGTTTGCTTTCATTATTTTTCCAGTAGGGTTTTACATTTGTGTCTGGGCTGCCTTGAAGCTCTCTTCCTAAGCTCTCCTAACCTCTGCCTGGGATTGCAGGCCATGTACCAACACCTTGACTTGATAGTTGAGATGGTGAGATGCCGGGGGTGGGGGTGGGAGGGGTGAGGGGGTGATATCTCACTAACTTTTTGCCTGGGCTACCCTTGAACCATTGTTTCCTGATCTCTTCCTATCAAGTAGCTTGAAATACAGTTGTGAGCCACAACTAGCCGTTTTATTATCTTGTACCAAGGAGGAAACGGGCCGAAGAGAAATGATCTCCCATTAGAACTTGATCATGTGGCTCTGAATTTGTCAGTGATCTGATGATGTCTGTGCAGGCCACTTGTTGCCAGGTACTTGTGCCCAGGGTCGGGGAACACAACTCAAGAAGAGTCAGGCCTTGCTGGAGATGCCAGTGAACAGAGAAGCAGTCCTGGGGTGTGTGTGGGGGTGTGTGTGGCAGAAATCACAGTGTCTTCCCCCCAGTACAAGGGCCAGGTGATCCCCTACTTGTATGAAAAGCTAAAGCTGGGTGTGAAAAGTGGGGTGCCCACTTTTGGGCACTGTCTGGGCCTCCCCACTGAGGGAGGGGCTGTGTTCCCACAGCTTCCCAGGCTGGAGTGCTAAGGACAACACTTAACCTGGGATCATGGGCATCTGCTACAGTGCTCTTCTGAGGCCCAACATACTGAATGGCCATCTTCTGGAAACTTTTTTTCTTTTTCTTTTGTCCTCTGAGCCTGGGCACTGTCCCTGAGCTCTTCAGCTCAAGGAGAGCCCCCTACCACTTGAGCCACAGCACCACTTCTGGTTTTCTGGTGGTTCATTTGAGATAAGAGTCTCCTGGACTAAAGTCCTGTCTGGGCTGGCTTTGAATCACAATCCTCAGATCTCGGCCTCCTGAATATCTAGGATGACAGGTGTGAGCCACCGGTGCCTGGCTTCTTCTGGAAACTTCTATTCAGAAATTCCTGGGCCACAAGTTTGCCCCAGCCTCACCTGGAGCCCGTCTTTCCCCCACTCTTGAATTAGGACACTTTGATGATGTTTGGGGACACCTGGGGTTGTCACAGCTTAGGGAAGTCCTGTTGTGGAGTGCATAAAGCCCAGGGATGCTACTCAGCCCCTTACAGGGGCCAGGAGGGAGACTGAGGCAGTCCGAGATGCCATTGGGCAAGGTGGAGACCTTGAGTTAATTATTTGTGACAAAACATTCAGCCTGTACCCTGCCTCTACCAGATGTCAGGACACCTGGGCAAGGGGGCAGCCATGTGAGTTTGGGATCCCCAGCTTTGGGAACTCTTCTTTCTGCTCTGGGTGGTTTTCAGTGTGGGCAGTGTCCTGAGGCCCCAGCAGGACTGGGGCCATGGATACAATGTTGGGGGGGGTGTCTGTCTAGTCCCCTGGGGACCCTGGGTTGAGGCCAGGATAGCCATGTTCATCCAGAAGAAACTGCTCTCCAGATCTCACCACAGTTGTTGGCCAGGCTAGGGCCAGCTGCTCAGTTTGCAAGGCAGGGAGTGCCAGCTGCAGAATGCAAGGCGTTACGATTGCAGGTTCCTGACCTCCCCTGTCCAACCTCCAGAATTGGGCCTGCTCCAGGTGGCCCTTCCCAGCTACCGTGCCCACCTGCCCTGGATGTTACAACCTCTGTGGCAGGGGCCCAGTAGCTCTGCTAGTGGAGTTGCTCCTAGACAGGTGCTCCCCAGAGCACCCTCCTGGGCCTCAGGTCTTTTTTTTTGGTTGGTCGTGGGGCCTGAACTCTGGGTGCTGTCCCTGAGCTCTTCAGCTCAAGGCTAGCACTCTACCACTTGAGCCACAGCACCACTTCTGGCTTTTTCTGTTTATGTGGTGCTAAGGAATCGAACCCAGGGTCTCATGCATGCAAAGCAAGCACTCTACCACTGAGCCACCTTCCCTGGGCCCGGGGCCTCAGGTCTTGACCTTCACCCCCACCCAGCTCTGCCACAGATGTTCAACAGCCAGAGGCAGCTTGTGTGTGCTCACAAAGCTTTCTTCACAAAAGCAAGCTGCCTTGCGGGAACAAGGCTGGGCCTGCGTGCCATGTGTGCAAGGGCGCCCAGGCGCTAGGGCTGGGAACTGAGGCCTGCCAACATTGTGTAGGACACTCAGCCATCCATGTCGCCCCGTTCCATGCTCACAGCTCAAGCTCAGCCAGGCTAACATTCAGGATTCCTCCTTAGAGATCTGTTAGTGCTTGGAGGGAATTCATGGCCCCTACTCTACACACTCAGATTTTCACACTCCAGGTTTTCCAAAGAGGAAGGCCCTCCGAGTGGCCTGCATCTGGGACGGTCCCAGTGGATCGCCGCTGGGGCAGAGCCTGTGATCCCTCTCCCACAGCCTTCCAGGTCTTTACCTTTGCTCCAGATCTGAGGTAGGTAAGGCAGGTGCAGCCATCCTCCCAGCCAGTCTTTGTGAAATTTCTAGAAATGTGGAAACTACTTCCTCAAAACCTGTCCAGAGCTGGCCTTTGACCTAGATTTATTTGTGCATGTATTCATGTATTTGCTGTGGCTGAGGCTTGAACTCAGGGCCTGGACACTGTCTCTGAGCTTTTCCACTCAAGGCTGGTGCTCTTCCACTTTAGCCACAGCTCCAGCTCTGGCTTTCTGGTGGTTCATTAAGGTAAGAGTTTCACAGACTCTTTCTTGGACTGTGATACTCAGATTTTAGCTTCCAGAATGACTAGGATTACAGGCATGAGCCACCGGTGCTTGGCCTTTGTCTTAGACAAAAGAACCCAGTCTAGAGTTACAGGTTCCCAACCAAAGGAAGGGTTATAGACTTGGGCACACATCTAGTGGTTGTACTTACTCTACAGGTGAGTCACCATTTTAACCATGTGAAGTGCATGTCATCAAGTGCAGCCACACAGCCGGGTGGCTGTCCTCATCATCCATCTCCAGAACCTTCCATTCTCCCAAACTGAAACTCTCTCCCCATTCAAAACCAACTTCCCTCCCTCTCGTCCCTAGGAACCCTATCCTATTTTCTGTCTCTGGAGCTCCTGGGAATGGAGTTCTGCAGCAGGTATCCTGTGTCTGCTGTGTGTGTCACTGAGCACCGTGTCCTCACAGTCCTTCCATGTTGTAGTCATGTGTCAGAGCTCCATTCCTTTTAACAGCTGCGTAATATTCCAGCATGCATGTGGACCGCACTGTGTGTTTCCATTCAGCCATTTGTCCATAGACACTAAATTTGTACCTCTTCACTATTGAGAATAATGCTGTCATTTGAAACAGTCCTTTTAAAAGAAAAAGCTTATGTAAGTCGAAACTATTTTGGCATTTTACATAGGCCTTTGGATTTGGAGATGAGCAGACTTTCTTTTTTTTTTTTTTTCTGGTACTAGACTTGAACTCAGGTCCTGGGTGCTGGTCCTGAGTCTCTTTGTGCTCAAAGCTCAATCTCTACCACTTAAACCACAGCTTCACTTCCAGCTTTTTCTGAGTAGTTTATTGGAGATAAGAGTCATGGCCTTAGCTATGCCCCGGTAGCTCACGCCTGTAATCCTAGATACTCAGGAGGCTGAGATCTGAGGATCATGGTTCAAAGCCAGCCCGGGTCCTTGAGACTCTTATCTCCAATTAACCACCAGAAAACAGGAGGTGGTGCTGTAGCTCAAGTGGTAGAGCGCTTGCCTTGAGCTGAGGGCTCAGGCCCAGAATTCAAGCCCCACAACCAACAACAACAACAACAAAAAAGTCATAATCTTTTTTGCCTGGGCTGGCTTTGAACCATGATCCTTAGATCTCAGCTTCCTAAGTAGCTAGAATTACAGGTGTGAGTCACCAGTGCCTGGCTTCTAGGTTTCTTTTGTGGTTTTTAAAAAATTATTTTAATTTCATTTCACTTATTTATTTATGTAGCCAGTCTTGGGGCTTGAACTCTGGACCTGAGGGCTGTCCCTCAGCTCTTCAGCTCAAGGCTAGCGCTCTACTGCTTGAGCCACAGCACCACTTCTGGTTTTCTAGTGGTTTATTGGAGATAAGAGTCTCATGGAGTTTCCTGTCTGGGCTGGCTTTAAACTGTGATCCTCAGGTCTCAGCCTCCTGAGTAGCTAGGATGACAGACGTGAGCCACCGGCGCCCAGCTTGAATTTTCATTTTTAACATAGTGTCCAGTGAGCAGCACTCTTGCATTTGGACTTGTCTAGTTTTCACTCAGCCCTGTTTGCTGAGGCAGATTGCTTTACCTCTGAGGGTCCACTTAGCTTCTTGTGGATGAGCCTCATGAGCCTGGCTGTGTCCAAGTAGACCCTGGGTTCTGAGGCTGGTCGTTTGCACTCTGGGCCCTGGCCCTTCCTCATCCCTGGCCTCTAGAATTCTCTCCTCAGCTGCACAGTGAGTAACTCTTTGGGGCTTTCCCCAAACTTTTTTAAAAATCGAGATTTAATTAATGTATGCAATGCAAGGTTATGCAGAATCACTTCTTAATTCTAAAACATTCCATTACCCTCAAGGAAATACCATCTCCACGAGCAGTTTCCCACCTCCTTCTCCAGGCCCTGGTTCACTTGTAGATATTTCTTACCAGTGGGGTCATAAACAGGGTGATTTTGTGTGTGTGTATGGGGGCGTCTTGTCAGTTTCAGTATAGACCCCAACCTAGCCTGGAATTCACAATCCTGTCTCTGCTTTCTGGGTGCTGGTTCTGCAGGTGGCTACCACCTAGTGGCCTTTTTCTGGCTTCTCTCACCCCCCCTTTTTTTTTTTTTTTTTTTGGGTCCGGTCGTGGGGCCTGAACTCTGGGCCTGGGCGCTGTCCCTCAGCTCAAGACTAGCGCTCTACCACTTGAACCACAGCGCCACTTCCAGCTTTTTTCTTATGTGGTGCTGAGGAATCGAACCCAGGGCCTCAGGCATGCAAGGCAAGCGCTCTACCACTGAGCCACCTTCCCAGCCCTCTCACCCCCATTTTTGTGGTGGTAATACTGCGATTTGAACCCTGTACTTGCTCAGCTTTATTCAAAGCTGGTGTTCAACCACTTAAGTCATGCCACCAGCCTGGCTTTTGTCTGGTAAGTTGAACTCTTCTGCCTGAGCTGGCCTCAAACTGGAGTCCTCTAGATCTCAACCTCCTAACTGGCTAAGATTACAGATGTGAACCACAGTGTCCTGATCCCTTGTGTATTCTGAGATCCACAAAGTGTCTGCGTCCTTGACCTTGCTGTGTACCATCCACGTACTTTATTGCTGGCAACTTCCTGGATAGGCTGAGCGGTCCATTGGGCACTGCAGGCAGGAGGACTGATTGTTGCTTTCTAAGGGGACATAGGTCATTTGCCTTGCTGGGGACATTTCTAAGGGCAAGACATAGACATAGCATGGGTGTCAGGGGAAGTGCAGCCGGGTCAGGCTGCTGTGGGTTTGATCCTGTCCTGCCTGTCATGTCTCCCATCTGTGAAGCGCCAATGGCCAGTGCTGGGGGAGTGGGGGTGGGGGGAGGTGAGGGCAGGGTGGAGGGAGCTGATGTAAGGTGTGGAGTGCCTTCTAGTGATGGGTCCCTGGAGTGGGTGTCCAGGGCAGCACCCTGGCCGCCGCCGCCTCCACGCCAGGAGCTCCCAGTTGTGACAACTACAGTACCTCCCAGTGTCCCTAGAACACTCACCACCATGCAAAACCATTGCACAAAGAGTAAAATGGTCTGAAAGGGGGTGCCACACCCAGTTTTGCTGAGCACAGTGGGTGAAGTGGGTGAGGAGAGCCACAGGTGCCTATAGAAGTTGGCTCCTGTTAACTTGTCTGACAAGCTAGGCACTGTACCATGCTGGTCATCCCAGTACTCAAGAGGCTGAGATAGGTGAATCATTTGAGCCTAAGCCAGGCCCTGTCTCAAAACAAATGAACAAAATGGCTCGGCGCTAGTAGCTCATGTCTGTTATCCCAGCTACTCAGGAGGCTGAGATCTGAGGATCACGGGTCAAAGCCAGCCTGCGCAGGAAAGGCTGTGAGACTCTTATCTCCAGTTAACCACCAGAAAACCGGAAGTGGCGCTGTGGCTCAGGTGGTAGAGCGCTGGGTCCCTCCTCCTGTGTGTGTGCCCTTCCTCACACGGAGCCTGCGTGCATCAGTGTGCAGGTGTGCTTGCCTGGCCATTGGTGATTAAAGTGGACATTTAGTTTGTGGTATGAGCTTCCTTCTGTTAGGGAGGCCGAGTGGCTGGCTCCTGGGTCCCTGGGGGTGCACAGCCAGTCATCCCACCTGTCTGTGGGCCACATCCTTCATGAGTGGACATGTGGTTGTATCTGTGTTCGTAGTCCATGCGTCCTTTCGGCCGACCCTGGGCACAGTCCCAGGCCCTCTTCTAAAAATAGGGCCACCCTGCTGCTGAAAGCTGTGTGGGGACTGGGCCTTGCAGTGCCCATCCCAACGCTGCCAGCCTCGCTGGCCACCCTGGCACAGCGGCACACGCCCTGGAGCCTGAGGAGCAGAGCCAGAGACCCGGGATCCGGGATGGCTCCCTCCAGGGCCTGTCCCGCATCCGGGTGGCGGATGAGCTTGTCCAAGTATTGCCCCATCTCTGCCTCTGTCCTAATGTGGTGTTTCCTCCTCTTCCTCCCCTCTCCCCGCAACATCTAGCTCCATGTTCTCCTGGGGCTTGAACTCAGGGCCTGGGTGCAGTCCCTGAGCTTTTTCCCTCAAGGCTAGTGTTCTACCACTTTGAGACACAGCTCCACTTCTGGTTTTCTGGTGGCTAATTGGAGATGAGAGTCTCCTGGTCAGGTGCTGGTGGCTCATGCCTGTAATCGTAGCTACTCAGGAGGCTGAGATTTGAGTATTGCAGTTTGAAGTCAGCCCACTTCTCATGGAAGCCCCTCACTTATTCCTGAATCTCAGATCTGCCTACTACTCCGCCTGCCTGGGCCACCCCAGAGCCCTGCGAGTGGACTGGAAGGGCCAGCCCTGTCCCTGCCTGCTGGGTCCAGCAAGGGAGATGAGACGCACAGGTGCAGATGGCCCAGGCTTCTGTCCTTTGCCAGGCCTCGCAACACTCCAGGTGCCCCGTGCCTCCATCCCTAAGGAGCCCTTCTCGTTGCTGCTGTGATGTGCAACATGGCCTGGACTTGTCCAGAGCCAGCTCCCACCCTGGGGACCTGGATGCTTCAGCTGAACACTTGGGAGCCAGTGCTTGGGAGGGAGCTGATCGCCACCAGGGACAGAGGCTCACACAACCTACACAGCTGTACCCCGAGCCCTGTTTGTGTTGGTGATGGGCCTGCAGGATGCTGAGAACTTAGGGCCTGGGGACTTTGGTTAGTGTCCCCTGACATCACAGCAGCCATGATGGGGTTTCTCCATCCCATTACATATGTGGACTTAGGCTCCTCAGGCCCCAGGGTGCCCGCTCCTGAGCTCCTGGGCTCCATACCCAGCCCTGATTAGTGACCCGAGCTGGCCCAGCCCATTCTCTATGTCTAGGCTTGGATGGCCATCAGATGACCACGTACCAGGGGGTCAGTTCTCTGAGAATAAGGCCACAGGCCTGGAATCCGTCATGGGCAGGCCTCGCTCCCATGGAGCCCCCAGGAAGGCCTCAGCCTCTGCCGCCTGCCGGGACCCTCGTACGCCGCGTCTGTGCCTCTACCACCTCCTCCGCTCGCTCGCCCGCCCGCTCTGCGTGTCTATGTGTCCTTCTGTGGTGTCACCAGGACCATTTGTGCCACCGGCATAGTCCTTGTTTCCAAATGAGGTCCCTGTTTCGGGTTTGGGGCTGAGGCTTGGGATACCCCATCCAGGACCAGGCCGCCCCAGCTGCTGTTGCCGCCCTTAGATGTTGGTCAGTCAGAATGCCCGTGTCGCCTACTGGCTTGGAAGCCGAGCCAACCTGCGGTGGCACTGCCAGGCAGCGGGCAGTGAGTCCCAGGCCTGTGTGGCATTCCCTGCCTACACGGGGAGCACAGGCGCCCATGGTCATCGTGTAAGGAAAGAGCCGTCCATGGGCTGCGTCTCTGCATTCCAGAACTCTCCTGATGTCACTCGGTAGCTTTGCTGGGAAAACTAGGAGGCTGTGGACCTGAGCAGGAAGTAAGAAGCAGGGTGCATCTCAGCCCTGGGGCCTGAAGGTCCCAGAGAGCAGCCACACACTTCTGGCTGTGCAAGGTGCTGGTTTATTGTTGAGTGACATTTCACAGTGAGCTAAACTGAGGAAAGGGCTGTCTTGAGGCAGCAGGTTTGGCCATCGCAGCCACTGGAACCAGGTCATTCTGGGTATGTGGGCAGAACACCTCTCCCCCCCCCCCGCCCCCTCTGTAACATGGGCATGCGCCTACCTTGGTGGAGCGTGGTGTGGAATTGGCTGGCCATTTAGTGTGGCTCTCATGGTGGCAGGTTGGGCAGGGGCCCTGCAGGGAGGAGAGCTCATCATGCCTGCTTGTCCCGTAGATCCTGAACACCTGTGTTGCCTCTGCCTGCCTCAAGATGGACAACCGGAAGCGCCTGGCCTACGCCATCATCCGGTTCCTGCAGGACCAGCTCCGGCACGGAGGGCTCTCGTCCGATGCCCAGGAGAGCTTGGAAGGTAGGCACTCCAGATCATAGGACCCTCCACACAGTGCCATGCACTCGCTTCAGGCTGAGCTCTGGGGTTGGTAATCTTCACAATGCTTCCAGAACAGTCTTTGAGTGGTGCTTCCGCAATGTTCTGCTTACCTCTCAGCCCACTGTGCCCATCATCCTGTCTGTCCGCTTGGTCCTCCCTGCAGTACTGGGTCTCAGTGCTGGGGACAGCCTTGGGCAGTAGGTTCTAGTTCAAGCCCTTCTTTCCTTTCTGGTCGGGAGGCGGTGGACATGGTTGCCCCCCAGTTTTACCTGGGGTTAGGGTGTGGCCTGCTCACTGAGGCCTTTCCTGACTTGTGTGGCTGAGGGGACAGGGCTCCCTGGATGTTTCCTGTCCTGCACGTGACAGTCCAGTGCAGGTGTCGAGGGACATCCAAGTGACCTCAGACTCCTGTCTCAGCCCAGGCTGCACCCCTGCTGCCCTTCAGCAGGTGACATGTGACCCCTACAGGGGACCCTGAGGTGCTCCCTGAGTCCCTGTGCATTGCTGCCTGCCCTGGTGTCAGCTTGTGCGGGCTCATCCAGCGGCCCTGGGTGATAGGAGGTTGGCAGGAGGAAGATGTCCAGGGCCAGGAGCTTGAGGGGCACCTGCTGCAGGTGTACTGGGGACCCTGGGGCACAGTGTCACCCCTGCATCGGGGCTGGGAAGACTGTCATGCCCAGCCCACATGGGCACTGTGGAAGTACCCCGTCTTCTCTTGCAGTCGCCATCCAGTGCCTGGAGACGGCCTTCGGGGTGACTGTGGAGGACACTGACCTGGCACTCCCCCAAACTCTTCCTGAACTATTTGAAGCAGCTGCCAGTGGCAAGGTGAGCCCCATCCCAAAGAGAAAAGCAGCGGTGGCTGTGTGTCACCTGCATCTCCCTGGAGATCGGGACCCGCGGGCTGAGAGGGATGCTGCCCTTCTCATCATCGGGTAGGACTAGAAGTGCCCTCGTCCTGAGTCTCGGAGCCTGGCAGCTCCTGGTGGCACTTGGTGAGGGGTGAGGCTGAGGGGTGGGTTGGGCCAGGGGCACAGTGGGTCATCTCGCCCTCTGCGCAGGAGAAGCCGCAGGATCAGAGGCCTTCCGAGCACACCCCGCCTTCTGATGAGGACTCAGCGGAGGCAGAGCGCCTCAAAACGGAAGGTATGGGGAAGTAGTTCCGTCCCGGTGCTGGCCGGTGGCCGGTGTGCCCTCAGGGACGTGGACAGTGTTTAAGGGCCAGGGTGTGCAGAGGGGGCCCGGTGTGACCGCCTGGGATCGGCCTTGGGCTTTTGTACACTTGTCTAAAGAAAAGGAAAGCAGCAGCCAGACTGCAGCGCCATAGCTCACTGCGGCCAGAGGCCACAGGAGGGGACACAGTTGATACCTCTGGATACCCTAAGGCAGCACACAGCCAGGAACAGGGCGAGGCCGACCCACGCTACAGTGTGGGTCACCACACAGCAGCACACAGAGGTGGCAGCCATACAACAGTGTGTTGAAAGCTGCTGAAATCTACCTTAAAGTCTGATGGCATGTGAGGTCCAGATTATAGTAAAAACATGGAGATGCCCAGCCACAGCAGAGGGAAGAGAGTGTGTGTGTTCTAGACATAGGCACACTCGCTTCTGGTCACTGGGGGCCTTGGAATATGCCCAGCCATAACAGAGTGGGAAGAGAGTTTGTATGTGTGTTTGCGGGCACATGCATGCATCCGCGCATGTACGCTTGCATACTAGACATATGCACACTCCCAGTCATCAGGGGCCCTGGACCATTGCTGAGGATCTGAGGGAGCACTACATGGTGGAGGCTGGCTGTTTGCTTGGGCTATTTCCAGAGCACAACACAAAAGAGGCTCTGGGCCAATCCTGTCTTGGGGATCACCTGTTGCTTGTGGGATCACATGCCACCCCAGAACAATAATGACCAGGTCTTCAGTATGCTGTGGGTGAACTCTGAGGGTTTCTCTTTCTGTACACCCATCTGTATGCTTGCAGGAAACGAGCAGATGAAGGTGGAGAACTTCGAAGCTGCTATCCACTTGTATGGAAAGGCCATTGAGCTCAATCCTGCCAACGCCGTGTACTTCTGCAACAGGTACAGGCCTCGGAGGCCAGGATGGAGGAATGGGGGACAGGGCACCAGGACAGTCACAGGACTTCAAGCTGTTTCAGGGCATTCTGCATATTCATAGAAAATAGGTTTGCTGCTATGAGTGAAAGTAGTGTGTTTGTCTTTCCTTTAGTGTTGAGCATGGAACCCAGGCTCTCAGGGCCATGAGGAGCTCCCCAGCCTCACCCCAGCTCCTGACAAGCTCCCCAGTCCCAGACCTCTAATTTCATGGAGAAGCCCAGCAACCCAGAGCCCTGTCGCAGTCTTCCGAGTCTTTCTTGACCATGGGAATGAAGTGGGAAACAGATACAGAGTTGTCTGTCTGGTGCCAGGGCTGTGACCAAGAGCCCGTGGAAGAGGCCTCAGGATATTTGCCAAATTAACCGATCATACCCTGGGACAGCCGCTTTTCACTTTTTCTTTTTTTCCTGTGGTATTGTGATTTAAACTCAGAACTTTATGCCTGCTGGGCAGGTTCTCTACCACTTGTGCCACATTCCCAGCCCTTTCTTTGCTTTAGTTATTTTTCAGACAGGGTCTTAACATTTTTATCAGGAGATAGTCTTAGATTATGCCTATGCCTCTGGGATTACAGGTACAAACTACAACGCTTGGCTTATTGGTTGAGATACTGGTCTTGCTAACTTTTTGGTCTTGAACTTGGCTCCTCCCAGTATCTGCCTCCTGAGTAGGTGGGATTATAGGCCGGAGGTACGGTGTTTGGCCTGCCCTTAGTGTTCTGCTGACACAAAATGGCAGCTGTGCAGTTCCCTTTGTTCTGAGGCCTCTAATGTCACCAATCACTTCTCTCCTTCTCTTGAGACCTTGTCCATCCTTGGCTTCTGGTGACAGGGGCAAAGGTTCCCAGGGTCTGAAATCACAGGAAGCCAGGTCTGGCAGCCACATGTGTGAGTAATCTAAGGCAGGAAGGAAGCAGGAGCTCTAGGCTAACCTGGCTGCCCAGTGACACTTCGTCACAACAACAAAGAAAACTGAAATGACCAGTGCCGGAGCCTGGGTGCGGCTCGGATGGGGGCTAGCCAGGCAGGGATGCGTTTCAAGGTTCAGAGCTCTGTCAAGTGTCAGCCCGCTCTCTTCATCCGTGGACTTGTTCTCTACAGCCTCAGTGCACCACAGCCCCAAAATATTTCTATCAGCTTGGCTTCTAGAGAGAGGGGAGGCAAAGGCTGCATCTGCACAGCTTTTTGTCCACCGTTAGATGCCTAGTGTATAATGTAGCCTTTATTCTTCTATCTACGTGGGAAAGAGCGTAAGGTTCACTGTTGTCCACAGGCTTGGCTTTCCCCAGGCGTCTAGGAGTGGGTCCCCTTGATTGAAGACTGCTTTCTTTCCTTTTCCTTTTTTCTTTTTCTTTCTTTCTTTTCTTTCAAATTTTTTTTCTGTTGGTCATGGGCTTTGAATCCAGACCCTGGGCACTGTCCCTGAGCTTTTTGCGCAAGGCTACTAGCACTCTCCCACTTTGAGCCACAGCAACACTTCCAGTTTTCTGGTGGTTCACTGGAGATAAGAGTCTCATGGACTTTCCTGCCCAGGCTGGCTTTGAACTGTGATCCTCAGATCTCAGTCTCCTGAGTAGCTAGGATTATAGGCGTGAGCATCCAGCGCTCAGCAACTGTGCTTTCTTTGAGGTGCTGGGGACCAGCCCAGCGCCCCTGCTGGGCAATCACTAGACACTGAACAGCTCCCCCACCTCTGCCCCAACAGCTCATCCCCTCTGGGGCTGCGGGCTGCCGTGGAAGGTCGTGGCTGGGCCGTCCCACGGTCCTCCCCAAGTGCTCATTGTTTGGCTATGTGCTCACGTGACTGTGGGGCAGCACAGTCCTGCCAGGCCTTACCCTGGGAAGACTGACTAACTTGATTCTGCGAACTTGCCCCATCCTCTTGGTGGGTGGTTTTCTAGATGCTCAGATGCAGAGGGGGATACTGAGGCATGGCTGGGCTCTTTACTCTCCACTCTACTACCCCCAAGCGTACATGTGTGGGGTGTAGTTGCAGTGCATGCTGGAATTAGCGGACTGGCTTTGGGGCCTCCCCAAAACCTGGTCCCCTGACTTGGGTGGGCTCTGGGCCCTGGGCCCTGGCCGCTTGCCTCTGCGGGACAGCTTGGGTCTCCATGTCTACATAATGGTGCATAGCCTCCTGGAGCCTCCATCTTCAGCGCACCTGATGTCTGTGCCCCTCTCTATGGAAGCCCCCAAGCTCCGTTTCACAGGTGGCCCCCACTCAGGCCTCTGTCTCTGTGTCTGCAGAGCCGCAGCCTACAGCAAGCTGGGGAACTATGCAGGGGCCGTGCAGGACTGCGAGCGTGCCATCTGCATCGACCCTGCCTACAGCAAGGCCTACGGCCGCATGGGGTAAGCCGGGCGCCCCTTTCCCCGCACCTGCAGACACTGGCCTAACTGGCCCTGGGGGACAGGGTCTCTGCAGCCCCTTGGGACTCTGGTCATTTGGTGGCTTGGACCACGGAGCTCGGGGAGGCACTTGGTCGGGTCACCACGAGGTGCCTGCCACCCCTGAATCAGGTTGAGCCTCTCAGCTGCAAGTTCCATCCTGCTCATTGACTCTTTCTGAAGCCCATCCCCAGGCCAGGGGGGGATCTCATTGGGTCCACTGGAGACCCAGGGGTAGCCCAAGAGATTAAAAAAAAAAAAAAACTGGGCGCCGGTGGCTCATGCTTGTCATCCTAGCTATTCAGGAGGCTGAGATCTGAGGATTGCGGTTCAAAGCCAGCCCGGGCAGGAAAGTCTGTGAGACTGTGATCCCCAATGAATCAGCAGAAAGCTGGAAGTGGCGCTGTGGCTCCAGTGGTAGAGCACTAGCCTTGAGCTGAAGAGCTGAGGGACAGCGCCCAGACCCAGAGTTCAGGCCCCACTACTGACAAAAAACCTATTCCTCAGGATAGAGGGAACAAAGGCTAAAGCTTTTTCTAGCACTCCATCTGCTTCCACCTTTGCCTGGACCCCGCTTGCCGTGTCTTGGGGGCCACCAGGCTAAGGACTTGGGAAAGGCCATCTGTGGGTCCTTCACCATGCCCGCCCCACCCCCACCCTACCCCCCAGCCTGGCGCTGTCCAGCCTGAACAAGCACGCCGAGGCCGTGGCCTACTACAAGAAGGCCTTGGAGCTGGACCCCGACAACGAGACGTACAAGTCCAACCTCAAGATCGCAGAGCTGAAGCTGAGGGAGGCGCCAAGTCCCGTAAGCCCCGCCATGGTGCCCGCGGTGGGTCCCAGCTGGGTGGGTCTCTTGGTACATGGGTCTCTGGATGCCCAGACACAGGCAGGGCACGTATGGGGCACCTGGGGAGCCCAGGTTGGTCAGGAGGTACAGGGAAGCAGGGATGGAGGGCCGTGGCCCCATGGGTTTGCAGGCTGCCCTTTTGGGACTTGGGACAAGTTGGTGGAGTGACTTGGACGGGCTGTGGGCGTGGGGCTGGCAGTAGCCCTGCAGGATGTGGACTCGGAGGGGCTGGGGCGGCTGCTGCCCTGGTGTGCTTGCGTGTGGGGTGGTTTGCCCTGCAGGACCAGGTGCTCTGTGAGGAACCCGTCTCTGCACCCAACCAGGCCCACAGGCTCTGCACCCCATGACTGCCAGGCCTGGCTGCTCACCCCAGGGCCTGCCCATGAGGGTCATGCATGTCATTAACCCCCCTTTCTCTTCTCCCCAGACTGGCGGTATGGGCACCTTTGACATCGCTGGCCTGCTCAACAACCCCAGCTTTATGAGCATGGTAATGTCCTGCCCCATCCTTGTCTTCCTGACAGTGTTCCCCGCCTTGGCACCCCCACACCCAGTGCTAAACACGCTTGTCCCCTCCTGAGGCGCTGAGCACATAAGACAGGATCAGATGCTAGGGTGCAGGGACCACCCCAAGGTGACACCGTAGGGTACCCTGGCCTGCACTGCCAGAGCTGTGGCTGGCAGAGGAAGAACCAGCCAGAGCTGCTCTTCTGTGAGGCTCCATGCTGCGGGGCGCTGGGGATGCACCTAGCAAGTGTCTTCCATTGTGGGGTGCAGGAGCCAGCCCCCACCCTCCCGTGGGCATCCCATCCTCAGTGCTGCAGGGCCAGCAGCTTCTGTAAGCAAAGCTTCACTGGCACGCAGCCTTGCCACTCGCACCTAGTGTCAGCCGGCAGATCACCCTGGGGCGGCCATGCGCAGTGCGGGGCTCACATGCCCTGTGGCTGGGGAGGCCAAGGATGTTCCTAGTCCCATCCCCCAGTGAGGGAGCTACCCCCGCCCCAGCCTGGGGGTGGGAGGAAAAGGGGTGTTGAGCTGCAGGAGCTGGGGATCAAGACTCGCCTGTGATCCCAGCTACTTGGAGGTGCAGGTTGGGACTGCTTTCGAGGCCAGGCATAAAAATTCTCAAATCTCCCATCTCCATCAGTGGCTGGGTACTCCGCACCCACCCAGGGAATCAATGGTGGGAGGATGGCAGGCCAGCCTGGGCATAAAGTGAAACCCTACCCCAAACAGAACCAGTTCAGGGAAGGGCCAAGGGGTGGCTCAAGCAACGCATCTTGGGGTCATGGCTCACGCAGAAGGGTGCCTGTCCAGGAAGTACAAGGCCAAGTCCAGACAACCCCAGTACCAGCACGGCAGCCAGGCATGGTGACCACCCCTGCCATCCCGGCATGCAGGATGAGGAGGTGGGAAGATGTCCTTGGGTCCTGAGTTTGAGACCAGCCCGGGTAACAAGCAGTGAGTGCCCGTTTCAAGGAGGAAATCAAAGTGTGTTGGGAATCCGGGCGCCGGTGGCTCACGCCTGTCATCCTAGCTACTTAGGAGGCTGAGATCTGAGGACTGAGGTTCAAAGCCAGCTGGGCAGGAAAGTCTGTGAAACTCTTATCTCCAGTAAACCACTAGAAAACCGGAAGTGGCGCTGTGGCTCAAGTTGTAGAGCACTTGCCTTGAGCTGAAGAGCTGAGGGAGAGCGCCCAGGCCCAGAGTTCAAGCCCATGACAGACAAAAAAATAAAAGCATGTTGGGAGCCCCTCATTTTAGACTCTCTGTTCACTTTTCCAGGCATCAAACCTGATGAACACCCCCCAACTCCAGCAGCTGTAAGTGCCGGCCACGGCCTCTCTTCTCCTGTCTTGTCTTTATTTTCTGTTGTGGTAAAATATGCAGCAGTTTGGTGGCACTTAGGCCACTCATAGTGGCATGCAACTGGGTTCCTAATTTTGTTCTAGAACATTCTTTGACCTCACCAAAAAAGAATATCTGCCCCATGAGCATCACCCTGTCCTTCCCTATCCCCCACGATTTCACTCTCTGTCTCTGGATTCCTCCTGGTCTGAAAATGGGGTGTCCTCAGTCCTCTGGGATTGGCCATGGCCGTGAGATTGCTGGTTGTTTCCTAGCCCCAGAACTGCTGATGTGTGGGGCTGGGTCCTTTGTGGGGTGTCCTGGGCACTGCAGGAGCTAGGCACCGCCCTTCTCCCCCAGTTCCATGCCAGCGTCTGCACAGGCCACCAGTGTCCTCTGGAGTCAGCTGCTCTGCTGAGGCCCCTTGTCCTTGGGCCAAAAGTGGTCCTTTCTGGGAAAGCCATGGAACCCAGGGCCTGGGATGTGGGGTGCGGGCCTTGAGGCTGCCAGATGGAGACTCCTGCCTGGGAAGGGCTGGGGTTCCCAGGCCACCCCCCCCACCCCCAGGCTTCACTTTCCCGCCTGCCCGCTCTCCTGCAGCATGTCCGGGATGATTTCTGGCAGCCACAACCCCTTAGGAACTCCGGGCACCAGTCCTTCGCAGACGGACCTGGCCAGCTTGATCCAGGCGTGAGTGGGGCTGGCGGGAGCAGGGGCCGTGGGTGGGAAGAGGGGCACAGAAGAGCGCATCCCCAGGCGCACCGCACCTCTGTCCTCCAGGGGCCAGCAGTTCGCCCAGCAAATGCAGCAGCAGAACCCGGAGCTAATTGAGCAGCTCAGGAGTCAGATCCGCAGCCGGACCCCCAGCGCCAGCAACGATGAGCAGCAGGAGTGACGGCAGGTGGGGGCCTGGGGCCTGTGTGGATGGGAAGTGGGGGCTGGGGCGAGGGCTGGCCACACTGGCTCACCCAGAACAGATGGGGTCACAGGCGGCAGCTCTCACTTCTTGCTCGCCTGTACTGAGTGGGTGCACACAGGCTCAGCTGGCATGGCCCAGGGACCCCAGGCAGAGACCGGCTCGGATAGGACCCCCCGCCCCATACACACTATACATGCTTTATTTCATTTGCAGTCTGAGATTTGAGCTTGACTTGTACTTATTAGGTTGGTGCTCACCTCTGAGCCACATCCCCTGCCTTTCTTTCTAGCTTAAGCCACAGCACTACTTCCAGCTTTTTCTACTTTATGTGGTGCTGAGGAATCGAACCCAGGGCCTCCTGCATGCAAAGCAAGCACTCTACCACTGAGCTACCTTCCCAGTCCCTCCCCCAGCCTTTTTTTGATCTGGTTATTTTTAGATAGGGCCCAGACCTCTTTCCTTCTGATACTTTTCAGATGGGGTCTCATGTTTTTACCAGGGGCTGATTGGACCTTAATTGGCCTACGTCTCTTTTCTAGCTGGGATTATAGATGTCTACCACTATGTCTTGCTTTACTGATTGAAACGGTTTTGGTAACATTTTGCTGAACTAGCCACAGATTGAGTCTAATGATCTCTGCTTCCCAGGTAACTGAGATTATAGACATGAGCCACCATACCCAGCCCGCAGTTAATTTTTTTAGCCATGATTACTTTAGAAGAATTTAGAAAACAAAACAAGAAGCTGCAAACATAGCCCTAATTTTTCCACCCAGAGTGAATGTCATTTATATATATATGTCTTGGATATTTTTCCTTCTAGGTGATTTTTCTCTTCCTTTTTTTTTTTCCTTTTTTAAAAATTCTTTTTGGTACTGGAGTTTGAATTCAGCTTCCTGCAATCTACGCAGCTGCTCTGCCACTGAACCATGCTTCTAGCCTTCGTGGTGGCTGTTTTTTTTTTTGTTGTTGTTGTTGTTTGGTCATGGGCCTGGGCACTGTCCCTCAGCTCTTCAGCTCAAGGGTAGTGCTCTACCACTTGAGCCACAGCGCCACTTCTGGTTTTCTGGTGGTTTATTGGAGATAAGAGTCTCACAGACTTTCGTGCCTGGACTGGCTTTGAACCACAATCCTCAGCTCTCAGCCTCCTGAGTAGCTAGGATCACAGGCGTGAGCCACCAGCGCCCGGCTATGGAGGCTGTGTTTGAGGCGGAGTCTGCCGCTGGGTCACAGTCTGCCCATTGTAAGGTTCCCATCGCTGGGATGAGAGGCGTGCACATCCACGCCAGGCTTCGCCTCTGTATCTGGCCAGCCCTCCTCTTGTTCATTAGCTTTTGAATAAAGCACAGTTGTTCTCAGTCTGCCAAGCTGGTGCCTTGTGCCCTCAATGGCATCCATGCCTGCTTTGTTAGAACTTTCTGGATAATGTGCTGTGGGCCACACAGCAGCTGCCATCCTCGTGACCATCGGTGTCTGTGACATTGTTTTGACTCGAGTTTTTGACAGTCCAGCCTGTACCCTGAGAGTCCCTTCTCAGGCGTGGTCTCCCAGCCCGCCACAGCTCTTAACGACATGTGTGTCCATCTTCCTGCAGCCATCCAGCCCGATCCTGTCCTTCCCGGCCTGCTGGCAGCCTTCTGGTGTTTTGCCATTTTCTCCCGTCGGACTGCCCAAGAGAGAAAAAGAAAGAAGTTGGACCTGCATGTTAAATGGCTCCCCCGTCCCCGGTTTTTGTTTTTTTTTTTTTTCTTTGCCCTCCCTCCTCCCTTTTTGTACTCCTCTTCCCGCCCAGTCCCGCGTTGAGAGCCGAGCCAGCAAGCTGAGTGTAGACCAGCACTGGTTCCCCCCCAGCCCCAGTTGTTCCAGAATTTTTCTAGAATCCCGGAGTACTTCCTTTGGTGACTCGGGGAAGTGGCAGGTGTGACGAGGAGCCTCGTGGCACACACCTGTGGCCTCGGGGGCCAGGACTTGAGGAGTAGACCTTGGGCCCGGCCTGGGCCCCCAAGAGCGCTCACTGCCAGCCCGGCCTGGGCGCCAGCTTCCCAGGACCACGCGGGTGCTTGCTCGGCAACCGCGGCTTCTGCACATTGAGCCTCGTGGACACAGGACGGCTTCAGCAGCTCCTTCCTGCTGCGCATGTGCAGATAGCCATGCGGCCATTGTCCCACCTCCTGGTCCAGCCCTCATGGCCAATAGCGATGCGTGACCTTCTGTCCCCGGGGCCCAGCGGACAGACCAGGACATCCTGGCCTGCCTGCGTCCCCTCCCACAGCCCTAACCCTGCAGGTGTCCAGCAGGCCCAGGGACCTTCCGAGGGCTCCCCACTCCTGCACCACCCCTCAGCCCTGAGAAGGTCACCAGAGCTGTGTCCAGGGAGGAAAAGCCTGTCCAGGAAACGTGGCCACCATGATGTCCCTGTGGTGGTTCCATGGTGGCAGTCAGGGCCGTGTGTAGCCATGTGCAAGGTAGAGGCAGAACTGTGTGTGTGTGTGTGTGCATAGGTAGCCGGTAGGAAGGGGCCATAGCCGCTACCAAGCCCCATGGGGTGGGCTGGCCACACGCTCCACGCTGAGGCAATGGATGTGGAATAAAGCGACATCATGACCTCTGTTGCTCCTGCGTTGATCTTTGAGTGTCACTTGCCCTCCCCCCCAGCACCGCTGGCCTGTGGCCACCTTGAGGCCTGGCCAGTCCTTCCCCATCACGTACCACCGAGTCCAGGTTTGAGCCATAGTCTATAGCGAGGCCCCCGTTGCGTCCCCATGGGCAACACTGGCACACAAGGGTTACGGGGTAAGCATGGGCATGTGCGACACCCAAGCTGCTCATGAACTCCATACCTGTCACCAGGGATATGAGGGGTCCTGCTGGCCAGGCCCACTTTTCATTCCCAGAATCCCAAGGTGCCTACCGTCTAGCCAGAGTCCACCTGGCCGGGGAACAGCAGAGTTGGGTACAGCTGGTATTGGTAGCCCGCCCGTCCGCCCGCAGTCCTGGACATGCCAGACAGCTCAGGTGGGGTGGATTTGGGGGGCAGCATTACCTGCTGTCAGCTCCCGCTGGTGACAGGGAAGATCACCAGTGAGCTTCTGGCATGGGGTGGGGGAGCCCATGGGTGCTGCTCAGCTGGCCCTGGCACCAGTAGTGCTGTGGTTCAAGTGGTAGAGTGCTAGCCTTGCGCAAAAGTTCAGAGACAGCACTCAGCCCCAGGGCTGGTGAAAAGAAAGCCTACAAATGGAGCTGTGGCTTCAGCCTTGTTTTTTAGTTTCTGGTCAGTGGTGGGCTTGAACTCTGGGCCTGGGCGCTGTCCCTCAGCTCTTCAGCTCAAGGCGAGCGCTCCAATCAATTGAGCCACAGCACCACTTCGAGCTTTTTCTGTTTATGTAGTGCTGAGGAATTGAACCTAGGGTTTCATGCATGAGAGGCAAGGAAGCACTCTACCACTGAGCCACGCCAGCCCAACCAGCCTTGAGTTTGAAGCCCCCTTGAGTTTCAAGCCCAGTATTGGCACCAAAGTACAAAATCCTTATTCCATTCCCACCTGCCACCAGGATACATGCCTGTGTATCCTGACATGTATGGCTCACATGAGCCAGGGGACCCCTTTCCTCACAGCAGTGTCCAGACACCCAGCCAGCCAGGTGACCTTGCATACAAAGACCCTTAGCATCTAGAGCCCTCTGATGAGGGTGTGTGCAAAATCTGCCGTACGTCCTGGTGTTGCCAGGCACCAAATGGGCGTCCCCTAGGACAGAGCATGCCGTGAGGCCTCAGGTCCCATCTGTGTGGCCCCCTTCTTGACCTCTTTCCACCCCTTGTTTGTTAAGCAGTCATGTGGACTGGTGCACCTGTGTGGAAACCTGCCCTGAAGGGGTGCTCAAGAATACCAGCCAGCCAGGCGCCAGTGGCTCACGCCTGTAATCCTAGCTACTCAGGGGGCTGGGATCTGAGAATCACAGTTCAAAGCCAGCCTGGGCACAAAAGGCTATAAGACTCTGATCTCTAATAAACAACCAGAAAACCAGAAGTGGCAGTGTGGCTTGAGTGCTATCCTTGAGCTGAAGAGCTGAGGGATAGCGCCCAGGCCCAGAGTTCAAGCCCCACGACTGACCAACACCAGCATATTTCCATTACTCTCCATCAGCTTGCATGTTTCAGGGCTTCCTGGTGTCCTCCGTCCACCTCCCATCCTGCTTCCCCCCTCCCAGTCACCTCTTCCCCACTCACCCCAGACTCAACACTCAGGGGACACAGCAGGGAGAACACTGTGGAAGGAGACACTGTTCTCCCCCACCAGCATCCAGGCCTCCTTCATGTAACTTGGCCACAGCAAGCCAGATCACTGCTACGTGAGACCACATGTTGCCAATGGGGTTACATCAATGTACTGAACAGAGCCAACCCCCCCCCCCCCCCCGTCAATTAAACCTGTGCTCATGTAACTCATGATGGGCCCTGGGGTGGGGTCTGACAATGCTGTGGCTTGTTCATGACCTTGGAGCAAAATTGCTGATTGCTGCTGCAAATCTCAGCAGATGCTGGGCCACATCTGGGACACATGGCTGTTACAGCCTGGGGAGCTTCTGGCCTAGAATTGGGGCACACGCAAAAAAGGACCCACCTTGTATACCCAGGGCCCAGCGGGCAGAGACCCCGCCCTGCACCCCTGCCTGTGAACAGGAGGCCCTGGACAAACAGAACACACAATGTCCTGAAACATTTGGCTACCAGCAAAAGTAATTAGCTCATGAGGCTCTAGAATGTTTCTCTCTGCAGGAAAATGTCACCCCCAAACAGATCAGTTGATGCCTGGTGCTGGTAGCTCACACCTAGCTACTCAGGAAGTTGAGGTCTGAGGATGAAGGTTCAAAGCCAGCCAGGGCAGGAAAGTCCATGAGATCTATCTCCAATGAGCCAGCAAAAGACTGTCTCAAGTGGTAGAGTGCCAGCCTTGAACAACAATAAAAGCTAAGGGAGAGCACCCAGTCTCCGTATTGGGAGGGGAAATCAGTTGAAACCCCAACCTCAAGTGGTCCTCCCCATCACACCCCTCAGCTTGCAAAATTGATGAGCATTTTAGAATTTGATAGCGGCGAGTCCTCCCATTGTCCTCTGGGATGAGGGGCTGGGTAGTCTCGTGCCTGGCCAGCAGGGGGCGCACACTCCCTCAGTAATGCAGTAATGTCTGCAGCACTGAATGACAGAGCCTGGCCTAATACTGAACCCAACCCAGCTGAAACCTGGCCTGGTGCTTGTAGAGAAGCCTCTCCTTCCAGAACTAAGAGAAAATGCCATTCTAGCCAGGGTCCTTCGGGCTGCCTTGGCTCCAATGGGGATGTACACCAGGATGTACTCAGCACAGGGACCTCTAAGCTGCTCGATGGCGGCGGGGTGGGACAGGGGGAGAGGGGGCAGCTTCCAGGGTGCAGATGGACCCACAAACCCCACCAGAAACGTGTGTTTCAGATCATGGATATTTAAGTGCTCTGCAAGTTCTTCCTTTCCCCCTCCTCCATTCCTTCTCCTTTTCCCTTCTGTTCCCTGTCCTCCTCCGATGCCCCCTTCAACGTATGGACATGTTGACATAGAGGGAAGTATGGGAATTATGTGGCTCATGCCTGTAATCCTAGCTGCTCAGTAGACTGAGATCTGAGCATTGCAAATTGAAGCCAACCCAGGCAGACAAGTCTGTGACTCTTATTGCTAATAAAGTACTCAGAAAAGAAGCCAGAAGTGGCTCTGTGGTGCAAGTGGTAGAGTGTTACCCTTCAGCAAAAAGCAGCTCTGGAACAGTGCCCAGGCCCAAGTTCAACCTCTAGGCCAGGTCTAGCTCAGTCTGGAGGCTTCCACCTATGGGCACTTGGTCTTGTTGCTACTTCCTGTGGCAAAGGGGTGGGGTGGGGTGGGGCGATGCTATTCATCCCATGGCCTGAAGAGAAAGGGAGAGAAAGGGGCCAGAGTCCCACAATCCCCTTTGAGATCAGCCCCCAGTGACCTAAGACCTGCCACCAACCTAGTTCTTTTTCTTTTACTTTTCTTTTTCCAGTGCAAAGGTTTGAACTTGGGGCCTATATACTTGGTAGCTAAATGCTCTAACCATGAGTCACACATCCAGCCCTTGTTTGCATTGGTTATTATTATTATTTGTCAGTTGTCAGTGGAGCTTGAACTCTGGGCTTGGGTGCTGTCTGTGTGCTCTTCAGCTCAAGGCAAGTACTCTACCACTTGAGCCACAGCACCACTTCTGGATTTCTAGTGGTTTATTGGAGATAAGAGTCTCACGGAGTTTCCTGCCCAGGCTGGCTTTGAACTGTGATCCTCAGATCTCAGCCTCCTGAGTAGCTAGGATTACAGGTGTGAGCCACTGGTGCCCGGCAGCATTGGTTATTTTTGAGATAGGGTCTCATTTCCTGTCCAAGTTTGGACCTCTGTCTGCCTATTTTAGGTTTCCCATTATAGTTGAGATGACAGGCATGTACCGCCACACCTGTCTTCTTTCATTGAGATGGGGTCTTGGCGACTTTTCTTCTCAGGCTGTCCTAGAACAGCGGTCCTCCTGGGATGACAGCTTGTGCCCAGCTATGGATTGAAATGGAATTTTGTGAATGTTTCTGCCCAGGCTGGACTCAAATTATGAGCATCCCAACCTCAGTTTCCCAAATAGCTAGGATTATAGTGGGGCAGGCACTGGCCCTGGGGCAACTTCTTTACCCTTCATGTCTTCCTCCTCCTCCTCCTCCTCCTCCTCCTCCTCCTCCTCTTTATTTTGTGGTACAGGGTTTGAACTCAGGGCCTTAAGTCTGTTCATCTTTCTTGCTTACCACTGCCCTCTACCACTTGAACCATGCCTCCAATCTGGCATTTTGCTGCTCAATTAGAGATGCCATCTCCCAGATGCTTTTCCATAGGCTGGTTTTGAATAGAAATCCTCTATATCTGTCTCTTGAGAAGTTGGGATTACAGGTGTTAGCCACAATGCACAAGTTTTTTTAAGCTTATTTAAAATTAAACGTTTTTATTTTATTATTATTATTATTATTGGGTCCATTCGTGGGCCTGAACTTTGGGCCTGGGCGCTGTCTCTCAGCTCTTCAGCTCAAGGCTAACGCTCTACCACTTGAGCCACAGCGCCACTTCCAGCTTTTTCTGCTTATGTGGTGCTGAGGAATGAACCCAGGGCCCCATGTATGCAAGGCAAACACTCTGCCACTGAGCCACCTTCCCAGCCCTCAAAATTCTTGACTTGGTTGTAAAATAGTACTTTTTCAGTGTTTAAAATATAAACGTTTGGGGCTGGGAAGGTGGCTCAGTGGTACAGCGCTTGCATGCATGAGGCCCTGGGTTCAATTCCTCAGCACCACATAAGCAAAAAGAAAAAAAGCCGGAAGTGGCGCTGTGGCTCAAGTGGTAGAGCGCTAGCCTTGAGCAGAAGAGCTGAGGGACAGCGCCCAGGCCCACAGTTCAGGCCCCACGTCCAGCAAAAAGAAAAAGAAAAAAAAAGTTTTGAAAACCCGTGAGAATAGCACAATAAATTCCCTTACAGTCCCAACCTACATCCACCAATTAACATTTTGCTGACTTTGCTTTATCTCTGTGTGTGTGTCTGTGTGTGTGTGTGTGTGTATATACACCACGGTATTCTATTTCTCTGTGCAATGAAAATGTGTCTTCCAGGTGTCCTGCACTGTGCACCTTCTAACATCAAGGGCATTTTCTTACATAAACTCATTACAATTTGTAAACCTGGAAAATGAGATAAATTAAATGTAGATACATAGTCTTGTTAATTGTATAGTCCATATTCAGATTAGTTTAGTTTCTCTTAACATGTGCTGTAAAACATACTTTTTAGCCAGGATTTAATCCAAGATCACCCCCTGCGTTTAGTTACGGTAAGGTTTGGATGACCATTCCCTGGGGCTTGAACTTGGGGCCTGGGTGGTGTCTCTGGGTTTGAGGCACAGATCCACTTCTAGATTTTTGCTGCTTAATGAAAATAAGAGTCTAACGGACTTTCCTGTCCGAGATGGCTTCGAACTTCGATCCCCAGATCTCCGCCTCCTGAATAGCTGGGCTTACAGGTGTGCGCGAATTGGTTTCTTTCAGGAAATCCATTCCCTCCCGCCAACCCTCGGATCCGCCGGGATTCAGCACCAGACGCCCCTGGACAGCTCAAAAAGCCAAACCCTTCCGGAACCATTGCTCGGTGGTCCATGTTTCCCGTCGGAGACACTTGGTGGGTGAGTCCACCGCTCCGCGGGAGGAAACTACTTTCTCCCGCTGGTGGGGAGGTGGGGTCGCAGGATGAATGTCAGCCAGAAAAGCCAATGAGACTTGGGTATCGGCCAGCGGTGCTCGGAGCAGCCAATGGGCGCGGTGGGGGGCGGGGCGCAGGCCGCGGCGCGC